TCTCCAACGGCATGTGCGCCTGTGGTACAAGCGGTTGACACAGCGTGATTCGGCCCTTTTAGCTGGTATTTAATGCTGATATGGCCTGCTGCCATATTGACTAAAATCTTTGGGACAAAAAACGGGCTGACTTTATTGTAGCCCTTTGTTTTAAATAAGGCAGCTGTGTCAGAAATTTCTTCCAGTGGAACCATTCCCATCCCAATTGCCACACCAGCAGTTAAGCAGTCCTGTTCAGACTGGGGAGACCAGCCAGAGTCCTTCATTGCAAGCTCTGCTGCACCAATGGCCATCACGGTGGCAGAACTCATGGATTTGATCTCTGACTTCGACACAAAGCTTTCTTCACTGAACTCACCCTCCTTGTTTCCCCTTGGCACACACGCAGCCACTCTACATGGGATGCCTGCATATTCTTCCCCATCTAGTGATGTAATCCCACTGCCTCCTTCCAGAAGGTGCTTCCACACAAACTGAGTCCCCACACCAAGAGGGGACACTAAGCCAATACCTGTAACAACTACTTTCCTTCGACATGCAGGCAATGACTTGCTGAAAGCCCTTCTGTGGTTTTGTAAATGTCGATTTAAATTCAGACTCCGGAGATGAAGGTTTGCAATCTTTAACAGATCCTGTGTGCACTGTGAGAACATGGTGGCAATAATCAAGCACATTCCTGTAAATAGAGGAGGGTAGAGGGGGGTGGGGAAAGACAAACAATAATAAAGCAGCCAATGTGGAAAACATTCCAAGAACATTAAATTAATAACCTGCTGTTACATGACAGACTATTTTCAACCCTGAAGAAAGGGATATAATTTCTGTGTCTGTAATGAGGAATAGTGTGAGATATAGCAGATAATGGCAAAGAAACATGTTCACTTTGGGAATGCCTCTAATGGGCTCTTCTAGCTTAAGCTACTGATAAATATGACTTTGCAGCACTGTGGACTGTGAAGCACTCTCTGGTTTTGCTGCAAAATTTCCCCTGGAGCTTTAACCACCAGCTGGTGGGAGGCAGAAACAATGAGCAGGAAAAGTTTCATTCTTCTAAGGGAAAAAGTATGTGTTCACTGGTAAAGTGTATGTCCCACCACTACCAAGTTGAGGATATTGCTGTCTCAACCTTCATCTAAGGCAGAATGGTCTAGAAAGTTCAAACAGGAGTCAATATACTTGTCCTGGTTCTGCTACTGACGTAATACACATCTAGGACAAGACTCTTTCTCGTTCAACCTCCATCTACCCTTTATCAGCTTCAGGTTATTACACTGTCAGGGGACAGTATCCCAAGTAGCTTGAGCAAGATATGGAGCACAGCACCGCCTCCATTGAAGGTAACACCAGCATACCCCGCATAACAAGAGGCATGGCAAGTGGTGGCAGAAGGCCTCTGCTGAGAATAAGTACTTGAGGAAGGACCAGAGGACTGTGCCAAGCAGTGATGGTGCAGTACTGTGCCACAGTACCTTTTCCTTGCCTTGGCCACTGCCAGGTCCAGAGCCAGTCTGATTACACACATCTGACATGCTGGAGCAGGGCAGCGGCTGCAGTACAGCTCTGCCAACACCTACAACACAGGCTTCAACAGGTTGCCTGCTATTTGCCTTATCCAAAGAACAATTTGGCATCCCCAGCTCTTTGGTAAAATGGAGAGAGCTATATGAAGACCATAAGGGGCTGCTGGGCACTCCGGCTAATATACCCTGATCTGTGGCAGCACAACTGCACAACAGCGTTACTAAAATATGTTATGGAAGCATAGAAAGGCCTGGGTTTGAAGGAACCTTAAAGATCATCTCATCCCAACAATCCCTGCTATGGGCAAGGACATCTTTCCCTAGATCAGGCAGCCAAGACTGACATGCAGCCTGGCCAAGAACACTTGGGATAGGGAATAAAAATAATAAACAATCACATATTATATTTTATACATATTTTATGCAATTATTAAATTTAATTATTAAAAAAAAATTAAAGGAGCCTGTTTTAAATCCTGACCTGAATTTCCCATTTCAGTTTTTTAAGCCACTTAGCCTGGACTCTACAAATGAGGCAGTGTGTGTGTGTACATGTATATGTGTATAGAAATATATATATAATATATAACATTTTATGTATTATATAATGCAAGTTACAGATATAAATATAAATATATAAAGAATATTAGATAGTCTATACATAATATAAATATAAACCCCTCTGCAGTCATCTTGTATGCATATTTATAGAGTATAATGGATAACATATGTTTTATAGAGACACCGTACGTGTTGTGTACCATATACAATGTATAAGATAATGTATTTTATATATATTATTATATATGCGTAATGTATAAGATAAGGCGTTTTGTCAGTGTCTATACACATATCTCAATATGCACATATGTCTGCAGAGCGCTGTAAGGCAGCTCGGCCCGCAGCCCCACGCAGCCTTTACTGAAATGCCGTCACCCGGTGCCGAGCCGTCCTGTGCGACCCACCAACGCCCGATACCTGGTGTGCGGGAAAACCAGGCGCAGGATTATTTCCCCCGGGAACAAGCGCACTACCGAACACCTCCAGGTGTTCCAATTTTAATGTGTAAACCAGCAGTCAAACCCCGGCGCCACGGGACCGCTCAGCGCCGCCATTGCCAGCCCGGCCCGCCCCGCCGGGGGCAGCGTCCCCCGCCGGTCCGTGCTGAAACCCCCGCTTCCTCCGCCCCAGCCCTCATGGGTACCTCCGCCGGCCGCGCTCCCCCCCTCCCCGCGATGGTTCGCTCTGCCTCCTCTCCCGTTCCGACGGCGCGAGGCCGCACCACTCCGCAGGCGCGGGGGGAGAGAAGGAGGTGTACGGGTACGCGCGGCCCACGGCGCTTCCCCCCGCCGGGCCACGCCCCGCAGGCGGGCAGCGTGATCGCGTGAAGAGCCCAGACACCAGGAAAAGGCGATGAAATAATTCCCTTCCCAAGCCACGTGTTTCAGTCACGCAAAGGAGGAGTTTAAAAAAAAAAACAAAAACCAAACCAACCAACCAACCAAACCTAAAAGCCTTCAAATAAATACTCCGGTGGAGCGGTAAGGCAAAACCTTATCCCAGACAGACTGGAATGGCAGAGTATAAAATGTTTGTTAAAGTCTCATCAGCAGAGACATGAATTAATTACATTGTGAGTTTACTTGTTAGGTGATACCTTTATATAATTTTAGTATACAGTAGTAAGAAAACTGAAATAACTTTACCCCCACACAACATAATAATGTTTATTAGCTGCAAACAGAGCTACTAAAAAATACGAACTATAGTAATGAGGTATGTACTGCAGGAAAAAAGGGGGAAAAAGCCAAAAAGGAGATAAATGCAATATTTAATAAAGAAAAAATAAACATGTGCACTTTTTTTTAAAATGAAGACTGTTTTTAATTTAGAAATAAAATTCCTTGGGCATTTAATGTGTTAGCGATTTGTTGGAAGTTGGCACTTGGATTTAAATTTTTCTCACTGCTTGCCTATGAGCACTTCCAAAGCATTGTTTACAAATGCCATACTGAGATACATTATGTATTTATATGCACACATGTATAGCACTGTAGTTAATTTTTATATTTCCTAAGGCAGCCAACATTGAGAGTCACATGCCTACATGAAATACATGGAAAGGAAATGAAAGCTGAAGTAGCAGCATCATCTGAACATGGCATTATCTTAAATTAAAATTTTATTACTTTGGTACCAGTTCCATGATCTTGAGGGCTGAAATAGTAACTTTTTCACTATGCTAGTAGGAATAATAAATGTAATCTCAGCAAAAGTGAACTACCCTCTGTTAAATCTCAGCTTTTGTGAGGGCTATGTACCACTATCTTAAAAAGTCATAGAAGCTGAGCAGTGACCTGTCAGAAGCAGGCAGCAGAGGCATCATGTATTATCACCTACATAATCAGAAGACAGCTTGAATTTTCAAGACCTCACTCACTCAGAACTCTTTAAATCTGCATTCCTAATAAAGTAAATCTCCACAGGCCTTTGTGTCCAAGGTTCTTCACCACAGTTCTTTCCGCAGCAGCCCAAAACAGACGTCTAGAAGGAGACCAGGGTTTGGTTTTTTGCTTCTCTGGGATAGAGTTTGGGTAGTGCAGGGCAGATGTGATGGCAGGGGCAAGTTGCTGCAGTGACATCCCTGCTCAGGCAACCCAGGTGAGCCTGAAGGTGTGGCACCCTCAGTACTGTCAAACCAGGGCAGTACAAAAGGGGATTTGTATCCTTAATGATGTTACTGCCTGCCAAGGGGCTCTCGATGTTGTAAAATATGGAATAGGCAAACATTTTCTTAAGAAATTATGCTCTTTTATGTTTGATCATTGTATACTTTTGAGCCAAATCAACCAGAAAGGAGATTTAATCTAGCTCTAAGTTACATCCAGGTGTTAGAAAGACAAATGGCTTGTTGACAGAATTGCTTTTTTAGGGCTCCACGTGTTTCGTGGGATCTCACCTCAAAGAGCTGGAGGTTTACAAAGCTGGGGAAGAAGGATTGTACCACTGACAGTGGGCACAAGAATTGATTGGACACAAGGACATTTGGCAGAACTCCCAAGATAAGGAAGAAATTAGCAAAGACAACTCAGCTGCTGTGCTAGGATCAGCTCTGACTGAATAAAAGGCAATTCTGGCAGGGGGAGTTTGCAACCATTGACTCGAGAGAAAAAATGAGCACGTGAGCTAATCAGCATAAGAAGGGAATAATTTCTGCACCCCTTTCTGCACAGATCTATAAATAAATCGTGGACTGGCCCCTTGCACAGCGGGTGAAAGAAGCTGCTTTGGGACCCCGAGATCCCGGTGTGGTCGGGAGGTCCCGCTGCCCCGGGCCTGCGGGTCAGGATTAAACCCGCTCGGGCCCTTTAAGGCCGCCCCCCCGCAATGGCCGTCTGTGGGGATGGGGCGGTGACCTCAGCGCTCCTACCGCGCATGCGCCCAGCGGCGCTGCCAGGCTGGCGGCCACGACCTCGGTGCTCGCACGGCGCATGCGCGTGGCGCAGCGCCGGGGGCGGGCAGCGATGGCGGCAGCCGTGGGACTCTCGTCCTCGCCGGGTTCCCCCGCTGTGAGCGAGCTGTGCCAGAACAGGCGGGAGATCTTCCTGGAGGCCTCGCGGCTGCTCCTCACTTACGCTGACAACATCCTCCGGTGAGCGGGGTCGCCGCCCTCGGTCCGCGGGCGGTGCCGCAGGGTCCCGCCGGCCTCTCCCCGGCTCCGCGCGGCGCCTTCGGTTCTGTTGTGTAATAGCGGAGTTCAGAAGCGTCTCGTGTGTTTTTGTCGTGATTTTAAAATCAGTGTTGCTTACCTAGAGGTGTAGTGTTCTGGATTTCTGTTTCTTTCATTATTGCTGGTTGGTTTGCTTTGAAAGTTTAGGAGTTTGTGTATTAAACACAAAGTGATGTCTTATTCCTGATTCTCCTCCGTAGGTGGGTATTAAAACAAGTATTATTGTACTGAAAAAAGCGGGTGCATAGCAAGTAATTTAACTTGTTTAAAACTTTATTTTAACTTCATTTTAATTTCCTTGTATTTTTTATTTTATTTTTCTTTTGCCCTTTGCTTCTGACTTCGCGGGGTTGATACCAAGAGTTAATTATAGCTGAATTTCTGCGAGGTGGCTCTGTAGGGTGCACATACACGCCGGTACATGTGATTGACCTTGATGTCTTCCAGCAGCTCGAGGAATATGGGCTGCTCCTCCCTGTCTATATCTGGCTCTTAAACCGCTTGTAAAAGCTGCTGTGTGACCGAGAATGGCGAGTCCCAGGCTGGCTTCTTTTAAAGAAAAAGGCGAAAGAAGAAGGTTTTTAAAAGAGTTGACAGAGGAAAGGGTAGCTGAGAAGTGGCACAGAGACCACAGTCATTTCACTCAGTACCAGGCAGTTTAGCACAGCCTCCACGGTGGGACTAGAGCCATCCAGCATTAACCTGACGGGTTCAATTAGAATGCACCAGGTATAGGGGGATGTGAAGTTGTCTCTAAGTGTCTTAGCCCTGCTGGGTATGACTACAAAACACGAATTCATGAACATAAGTTGCAAGCTAAACTTTAGCACCAGCTGGTAACTCTCAAAGTAGAAAAAGGCATTTATAATGTCAAAGTTTTATGTAGGTTTCACCTAAGTGATGTAAATGAAGTTAAACTTTAAAAAAAAAAAATCATAGTGAAGTTAGCCTGCTTTTAAGTGTTTACTTAATTTGCAAATATAATTATAACTTTCAATTTGTTCAGGAATCCCTATGAGGAAAAATACAGATTAATTCGGATTGGAAATCCAGCATTTTCCACAAGGCTGTTGCCCGTCAGAGGAGCAGTGGAATGTTTATTTGAGATGGGGTTTCAAGAGGTGAGTATAATGTGGTAACTTCAGGTGCCTTCATCAGTTTACATAGTAAAATTTAAAATCGGAATTTTTTTTCTGCTTCTCTAGTGGCAAGGCAGATTTAGGGCAGTTGGTATATTCTTTCAATCCTTGCCTGTAAATATCTGTAGCTAACCAGCAAAGAATTTAGATGTGGCTGCTTCAGAAAAATGGTGGGCTAGCCTAATGCATAACAAGATTTTTTTTTTTGCTGGTCAGGCACAATGATGGTTTACTGAATGGCTGGATACATACACATGCTAGCACAAAGGAAGTGGTGGGAAGCAGGGTGGACTGTTAGGTGAACTAAGAGTGTTGCACTATAAATCGTAAAATGTGTGTGTGTGTATATATATATATAAAAAAAAATATAACACCATAATAGTATATTTATGTGTATTATATATATTATATATTCAACTAGATATTATTTTTATTATATAATTATATAAATAATAAAAATGTAGCACTATAAATAAGTGTTGAAACTGCCATTTTAAAGATAGGAAAAAAAAAATTAAAACCCTGCTCTTCTTCATGTTCCTGCCATCAGTAGAGCCCTGTAGTGATTTAGATAAGGGAAGCTGATCTGATTAAAATTTAATCTTCCAAAACAAAACCAATTTTTCAGCCAATTCACAGTGCTGCTGCACAAGTTCTTGTGTTGTCATGACAGCAGTGAAGGGCAATAGATTGACTGTTCAAGTAGTAGTAGGAGGGTGAGTTCTTCAAAACCCATTTTTAAAAGTTATGAAATGTTATCCTAAAATAGTGTTGAGTGAATCTTGATTCTGTTTTAGTCAGAAAGATGTGTTTCAAAGATTGTTTTGTATTCTCAAGTGGTCCCTGTCTTGGTTGAACTTAAACTGCCAAAGCTTGTTAAACTAGAAGTAGTTTTTGTAACCACTGGAAGCCTGGTCTGAAAACTCAGCTCTTGTTTAACGGTGCAAAGCTCTTGCTTTGCTTTAATTTGTCTGATCACACACTTCTGTATGGGTATGTACATCATGGTACTTAGGTCCAGCTGTCATGAGACCTCTCCCTTCTCTTTGGGTGAAGTTAATTACTGTAATTTTTTAATTGAAGGAAAAAGTATGCTGAAAGAAGTGGTGACTGCAGAGGGAGAAATGATCTGTGGATTTTTTCTCTTGCTGGTGCTCAGGAGACTTTTAATGGTGTATTTTAGTAAGGAGATTGGCATTGTAGCTAGGGAAGCACTCAGGCAGGTCTCTGGGAGTGTGTTGGCTCAGTCTTACGGTTATTGTGTCAGTCAAAGCTGGAGCTCACAAGCTTCTCTTCAACTGCATGGCTAATATATTGCTCTTTCTTTTGTTTCTGCTTGGTAATGGCTTGATACATTCCATTTAGTTTTGTGGTGATTTTAAGGGTTAACGTGAAGTCTCCATCTAGGGTGATATGTGACCTCAAGTAACTGTGGGTAAACAAGTCAGCTTAATAAATAGAAGTGCTGCAGTGGTAGAAACTGAAACTGTTAAAGGATGAGTGCTTCAGGATATTCATTTTTTTAGTAACCTGTTTCTTTATGTTAAGTACACAGGTATTTGATTCTGTCATAATTACTGATCTCATGTTACGCTACTGGTAATCATGTTGCAGTCAAAAATAAAATCTAGAAATCAACCCAGGTACCACTTTTAATAAGAGTAATATTGCTTATCTGAAAACTTAAAACTTTGATGTAAAACATACCAGTATGTAAGAGAATTTCCAGCAGATGCCATTCTAGGGACTTCTTCCTTTAACATTGAATGTCTTCCTATGTTGCCTAGGATTTCACTGAGGTACTGTGGGAACTGAGCATTAGTTGTTCCTTTCTGTTGTTGCTGCTTTCTGTGTCACACCATAACTACATAGCCCACAAATGATGCTCTGCAAAATAAGTTACTAATAAAAGCATATTGTTAGGAGCCCTCTTTCTCTAGATTGACTTTAGGTTTTTGATCTGGTAGGCTTCTGAAGCTGTGAGAGGCTTCAACTTTCTATTGTAAGGGACCTAATCTAAAAACTTGAATACTGCCAAGCCTTAGGATGCTAGCTTCCAATAAACTGTTAACTATAGCTACAGATCATTGACCAGCTTAGACTTGCATTAACTGCTGAATTCATTTATCTGAATTTCAGGGAGAAACTCACCTGGTTTTCCCTAAGGAAGCTTCAATTGACCAACTACGTAAAATCAGAGACTTAATTGCTGGTGAGAGGAGTAGCAGACTGAATGAATCAAACCAAATCCACAGATCGGGATTCTCTGAAACTGTCACCAGCACTCAGACAGCTGTACAACGGCCTTCGAGACCTGTTGACTCTGTTCTTGCCCCTGCCCATCAGCAACCAGAAGCATCACTTGTGCAGTCTCTTGAAATGGTAATTATAACCTGCAAACTTCATAGGCTCATTAATCTTGCATATAAAGAATGAAGAAGAGGTAACTATTAGGACAGGTTGCTCAGAGAACCTGAGTAGTTTCCTAGAGCAACTTGGTCTTTTCTCATAGCTAATCTTGCTTTAAGAGGTTTGGACTAGACTTATTAATTCCCCAGTGGTTTCTGAAGGTTTTTGAATGTTTTCTTCATTTTACATGCAACTTAAGCATGAAACGTGCCAAAAATAGAATATTAGCAAGAGATTTTGCTGAAAATGTCCATAAATATTCTATTGATCCAGGGTGTCAAGAAAAAAAGCTGATACGTATTGAAAAGGAGCAGCAAGATGGGGAGCAAGGGTGAGAGTGGGAAGCTAAGACTAGGGTTATATTTGATATATATATCAAATATATATATAGAGCCAGCAGAATAACAGGTGCAGAATTGTAATGTTTATAGTTATTGGTGTCTTGGTTCATGCATTTTGATCTCTATGTGTAGCCTGTGAGGAGGGCTTTCTTTTTTCACATGTGCCTGTCATTAAAAAGAAATTTAGCCAGACAAGGACAAATTTATAGTTATTTAGGCTGTTTCCTTTGTCCAAGAGGTTGAGGTGAAGTTCCTGATCAAGACAGGGCAGAGTCCTTTCATCTATTGTTAACTGGCCTGATGGGAGAAGATTCAGCGCCTCAAACAACTTTGAAAAATTAAGTTACGCCTTTTGATAGAAACTTTTAAGGGTCCTTTGGTTTAACTTTCTGAAGTGTTTTCTCCTAGAACCAGTGCCACTTTAGTCTCAAAGTTGGTGTAAGATGAATCCTTCCAAAAGCTCACTTCCCATGAATCCTTAAACGCAGGTTACATGTTTTAAATTATATTTTCAGTATATTATTGGATATGAACTAATAAATACTGTTTTTTCCCAGTATCTACACAAGTCAGTGAATGAGAAGCAGCAAAGTTTGAAGTGATGGCTTTTGGGGATAGAGAGCACTGAATGACCCATCCTTTCACCAGAGGTCCTTTGAGCAAGGTGCTGGTGTAGGTTGTCTTGAGACATTTAATCTAATTATGTTAGCATGGCAGTAGTTGCCTTATAATATACTGACTGGATTTCTTTTACTTTGGGGACTTCTGGGTTCGTTTTTTTGGCTTGCTTCTAGATTTTTACTGTTCCAGCCACTTCTTCAATGGTGGTTGGAAGTAATTACGAAACCTGTAGAATGATTTGCTGCTGTTGTGCTGCTTAGTACTTGAAGCTTTAAAAGTTGATCCTGCAATGACAACAATGTTGCACAATGTTGACACAATTAAATGCGGTTAATCCTTGCAATTTCTAGGTTTTTTGCCCCTACATGTGCAAGCCGTCGGGGTTGTGGATCCGTTTCTCTGAAACTTAATTTTCCATGCTTCCGTGCCTGGGTGGTGGGACCAAACATACTACTATTTAGAGACATCAATAATGCGATGTTTGTGCTCTGTTAGAGTGCTGTATTTAGCGGATCTCTACAGGGAACTCTACTGATAGGTCTCTGAGCCATTGAATTTGGTCTTTATAGTCTGAATTGATTGGGAGGAGGTCTGGCAGCGACTTTGCCATTTTGTTTGCACAGCAGTGGGGGGTTTATTTCCAGTGAGTATGCTGCAGAGTTATAGTTGTATTATTGTTGTATGCTCTGCTGACAGATGTCAGAGAGATTTAGAGTTGTTTCTGTAGTGCAAACATTTTTTTCTTGCCTGTGTGTTTCACCTGTCATTCATGGGAGGCCATGGAAAAGCAGCTTATTTGAAACAGAGAAATATTCCTAAATGCACAGTTCTAGGGACCTAGCCCATCACTAATTTGCTTGATTGATTTCTTCTGCATATGTTGTCATAAAATATTCTTGAGACTTGGGAAAATGGGAGCTCTGGCTAGTTGTTAATCCTGTTGGATAGGTTCTGATCTGTTTCTGAATGGCATAGTGATTACAGGAGGAAAGATGTATCCAAACTTAGAACTGCAGTGAGGTTTACCTCGCTTCTAAGATTAAATGCTTGCATAACACTTCATACAGTGGCTTTCATGAAACAGGTTAAGCACTAGTGTAACACTGGCAGTTTTGCCTCAGAAACCTGAATTGTCAAAGAATCAGGGAGAATTCCTGATGTGCTGAGCAATATCCCTGCATACCCTTTCAAGAAGCTGACAGACCATGAAGGTCTTTAGGCCTTTGTCAGTCTCTAGTGTCCCTTACTTTGTTCTTTCAACTTTCATTAAAGTGAATCTGCACACAATGTAGTTTATGATGTTAAACCAGTTACCTACAGCTGATGAGCTCCAGAAAGAGTAAGACTGGCTCTGTTCTATTTTAGCAGTTATGAAAACTAAGGACTGATCCTGCAGTACTGTAACAGCATAAAAACAACCACTTGTAATTTAAGTGTTCCTCTAAAAGAAATTATCTTCTGAAGAGTTCTCACACTTGGGTGTATTATACTGCATTTGCTCCCAGCCTCTCAGGAAAGCATTGCATTTTTGATTAAATTAAGATGGTAGTTAACAAGGCTGGAGGCTGAAACATGATGTAGCAATAGGGAAAAGGTAAATTATCAGTGCCACAGGCTTCCTCCAAAAGTATGCCAGACTCTTACTTTAAAAATCCCATTTCACTTTCTGTATTGTTCCCTTTTAAATGGGAACAAGTAGTTTGCTGAGATACCAACTTCATTACTATCAATTTCAGTATCAATTAAAATAGTTTTAGTATCTATGTGTGTACATTATTGGGTGCAACATGCCACTAGTGACTCATAGGATAATTGACTGAAAAAAACTGGTTCTCATATCCAGTTGCTACTGAAACAGACTGGGTGGTTCAGTGGTTCAGTGTCTATAAAACCTCTATCAGAGCTGATCTGTAAAAGAAGGAAGTAGAAACAGACAAGCAACATTCATGAATAAGAAATATTAAGCAGAATTAATCAATAATATAGTTCTATAAACCAGTATAGCAGTGTCCAGAAAATGAAAGTGATTATATGTCTTTTTTGTGGATTTTGAGTAAAAGATGTCCAAAAGAAAGTTGTGGGGGATTAGGTGGGAAAGAGAAGTCAAAAACTTTCCCATTTGAGGTGTCTTTAAAAACAGTTTTCTCCCTTAGTACACTTTTCACTCAAGACACCATTCAGAATGCTCAGAGATGGCAAGACTGGCTTTACAATTTGGGTGGTGGTGGTCTTCAGTTTTTGTTGATTTCTTTGCAAATATTTCACCTGTAAATAAATACATAATGTAAATATGAATTATGTAATGTAAATAGAATTATGATTTACTTTAACTAAAATAGAAGAGCTTGGTTATTGTGCCTGAAGGTGAAAGTTAATAAATCATCTTGTGACTGAAAATCTTTTGCAGGCGGCAAACATCTTGAAAACACTTCAAACAAAATTTGAGAATCTTGTATTGATGTATGAGAATCCTTCTATTCAGCAGAAAGCACTAGCTGCAATTCCCCTTCAGGAATTGAAAAGCAAGGCTCAGAAAAAGCTAGCACAAGCTACAAGACTGGACAAAGGTAATGCTGCCAAGTTGAAGTGTATATGAAAGCAGAAATGTTCTTTCAAATGTACCATACATTGTTGGTGTGTGGTCGGCGGTCTGCAGGTTCCAACTGCTGTTTCTAAATTGGAATTACCTGCTTCATAATTTACTACTCTTCTGTTTTTGTTTTGCTTTTGTCATCCATCTATTGCTGCTTTTATGTAGAAATTTCTGACTCCTAATTTCTGAATTAGTAGAAAAAGGTCCTGGGGAAACAAATGTTGCTTGCATTGCTTGAATCTTGAGTGAAATAGGTACAACGAGAGGAGGGGAGCTTCTTGTTCAAGTAGTCATTGTTATGAAATTCTCAGAGTACAGTTTTCCTGCACATACTACAGTTCTAAATTCAGAATAAATTTTTAAATACAGCTTCTCTTTTTTCAAGTGGTAATGGTGAGATTTTGAATGAGATCTTTCCAAGATGCAGCCTGATAACAAACAAATGATCACTTCCCTTGCAAATGCTTAAATGAATAGGGTTATTCCCTCTTCTTCTTGGACCTAGATATGAAATGTTGGCATAAATACTTGCGGCATCAGTGTCTAAAATTTCTATTTTCTTCATAAATGTGAATTTGTTTGGAATGTATGAAGTTTTTGTCAGTTAAAATGACATATTTCTGTTTTCAGGTGATGGTTTTAGGGTTGCTTTAGTGGTATAGTGAAATATTACTTCTATAGGATAAATATTAAAAAAAATACAATTTCAAGACCATATTTAAACAAAAAAAAATCCTTCTCACTGTGAATCTTTGATAGACTGTTTCAAGCAATTCTGCTAACTTTATGGAAGTGCTGTTGGTTTGCAAACCAAAAATAACCTCCTCAAAAAAATAATCTTTTTTTTTACAAATTACTTTGTTGTGTCTCATATGGCCACACAGTAATGTGTAATTGTGCCTTTGGAATTAAGGAAATTTTTGACAATGGAGTTTCATAGTAATTTTTCTTCTTTTATAAAACTGTATTGGGAAGTGAGAAACCATGTGAGCTAGTAAAAAGCATTCTCATTCAGCAGCATAGGACAATACAATGGGGAAAAGACACATAGCAGTAATAAATTATACAAGGAGAAAAATAAAGAACAAGCCTGCCTCTTAGACTCTGTTCTAATACTGCTGTGCACATTGTTTAGAAAAGGGGAAGGAGGGGGGAGGATAGTGTTCTGGGTGTTTCTTCCCAAATCATCAAGCTGACTTAGTCAAAATGTCTTCCAGACCTTAATTTAGATATGAATAAAGGGGAAGGGATGGAATTCCACTGTTTTGCATTGTGACAGCTTGAAAGCATTTTTCAAGAGATTTATGGAAACATTTGTTTTGGAATGGACTCTATATGAGATGTTTGGGTAATTGGCTTTCAGCTTCTTTGGTTTCTGTCCTGCTGCATTAAGACTGCCACCTCTGGGAATAAATACTTAATGCTAGGGGACACTTGTTTTTAGGATAGGCCTTGCAACACGTTATGAGCATTTTTGGCTCATAAAGACTATACTAGGAGGATAACAGTTATTTGTTGGGAAGTATAGCTTTGATTTTACTATTTCCCTTTGCCACATTTCATTAGAAAGATGGACTGAACAGTCAAAAATAGCTGTGTATCACAGCCAATTGTGTTTTTTGTTCCAATAAATCACATTTGTCATTTTTCTGTGTGATGTTGTAATGAAGGTTTTATTTTGCAAATCAAGGGAAGAATGTTTATAGCGCGTAGCAGTTATATTTTCACAGATGGGTTCTAGTTTGAATGTTGTTATCCAGGAAAAGAGAGTGTGGCCTGTGCTTGAAATCTTCTCATTCAGCTTTTAGCAAAGAGCTTGAATATACAAGCATATCTTTTCTGTAAGTAGTAAGCCTTTCTCTGAGTGTTCCAGCACAAAGGTTTTCCACATACATGAGTAAAAATGGAAATTTTACTGTAATTCGGAGTCTGATGTTCTTGCTTTTATTAACAGATGATCTCTTCCCATGCACTTCATGATCTTGGCAATGTGTGTTTGATAGTGTTAGTGCTCCTACAGAGTCTTTTGTACCAAAAATGGCTACAACTTCAAAGCAAGATGTGAAATGAGCATAAAAACTCATCTTAGGTTTTTTTTCACCATCCTGTAAAAGGATCTAGTGCATAAATGTTTAGTGCAACCGCCTTCAATTTCCTTTAAACAGCATTTTTACAAATTTATTTTGTATGTTAATATTCATTAGTTAAACCTGTCTGCACTGTGACTAGAGTAAAGCTGTAGTGCACAAAAATAACCAGGCAGTAATACCTATGATTGCAGTGTGGCCTAGATGATAAAGGTATTAGGAAGAATTATTTGAATATTTATGTATCTGAGAAGGAAGAGTATCTCTCTGGGGATTGCATTTGAAGATTCCAAGGAATTTAAAGGAATGGATCTCTCTTGAAAAATTGGATTTGTTTTTTAGGTAAAATGGGGGTATTTCCAGGTGTCAGAACAGTGAGAGTATGCAAGTGGGTTCTGACACCTGTTGTAAGTAGGAAAATGGTCCAGAAGAATCTGGTGTGGTAAAATCATCTAGAGTAGAAAACAAAAGACATCCTGTGTCTACCTTGGGTAAGCTGAGAAAGGTGTTTATTTGCTGAAATTAGAACAAACTTAATGTGTTTGCACGGTATATATGTATTTTCTACAATAATTAAGCTGTGTTTGTAGAAAGTCTGTTTATAGAAAGCCTGTACACCTGGTTGTTTAGACTGCTGCCAGTGTCTGGTTCTTTAGGATTTTGAAATCAAAGCAATTGTTATTCCTAGTTTAAGAGCTAAGAATAGGAAAATATTTTGGAGCAGAAAAATAATTAACTCTCTGTTCCAAAGTCCTGGAAGAGTGTGAAGGGCATGAGGAACTTCACCAGGCTGAAATGTAAATCTGACTCGTTTTTCTGAGCAATTTCTTATTTTCATTTTAACTGTAGTACTTAGGACTGCAGTTTTTTACTCTTAAGTTTGAACTTAGTCTTGACAATTTAGATTTTCTTTTTTGTATGTGTTTAAGTAATATAGGAAGCTTTTTAATACAGTTTTTATATTTAAAAGGATATATATTTAAAAGGATCCTTATATATACAAAAACATATAAAGGCCCAGAGATGCTGATTTGTATGGGCACTGTCAAGTTCAACTAAATTACTTTTACTTTTTCATTTGAACCATGTGTTGTATGAATTTTACAGGTGCACATGTGAATGAAGAGGACTTCTTATTGTTGGAGCTTCTGGATTGGTTTAAGACTTCCTTTTTTCGTTGGGTAAATAGTCTTCCTTGCAGCAGGTGTGGTGGGCAGACAGAGCCTAAAAGTGACTATCTGTTGCCTACTGATGATGATCTAAGGTGGGATGCCAGTCGAGTAGAAAACCATTACTGCAACCAGTGTCAGCTCTGTAATAGATTCCCAAGGTGAGCATACAGAGACTTGCTGTCTTTTTTTCTTTCAAGAAACAGCTTTGTGCATTTTGTGAACAGGTGAGAAGTTGTTCGTTCAGAGAGTAGAGAAGCTGTTTTAAGTAACATAATAGAATGTTTGATGAACCAGCAATTTCTCTACAAGATTAGAGATTTTTAAAAACAATATGTGCTTTCTCCTATGCAGCCTTGTTCTATTCATGCTTGTCTGGCTTGGTTGGGGTTTTTTTAATGTTAATTTGATGAACTACAGCTTCCAAATAAAATATGTTAGTATTGGCAACCATATGTAGGTAGTGTTTTGTTACTGCACAGAAAACTTCACTTCTGTAGGAAATCACAGTGTAATATACATCTTTTGCTTCATCTGTATCAAAAGAGCAAATACACAATGCATTTATACTTCTGTGATGTTTAGACATTTTGCAAGCTATTTAAACGACAAGCATACAAAAGTCATATTTTAAGATGTCTAAATCAATTTTGAAAACTTAACCAGATTCATTCCATGGCTGCTATAAACATATGATGGAATCATGTGAGTTGAGGTAGCATTCTGATCAGATGCATTTTCTGCGGTACAGAATTGCTGCGGTACAGCAGTTATTTCCATTATCTTCTGTGGACTGCTCGGTACTGAAGTCTGTTCAGATCATCAGAACACCATGTGAAGATTTCTGAAAGGTGAAATGTATTTTTAGTTGTTCATCTTTTGTATTGCTTTTCTCCTGTAGATATAACAACCCTGAAAAACTTCTGGAAACCAGATGTGGACGCTGTGGCGAGTGGGCCAACTGTTTCACACTGTGCTGCAGAGCTGTAGGGTTTGAAGCAAGATATGTCTGGGACTGTACAGGTATTCTGGAGTCTTGTAACATTAATACAAACCTGTTCAAAAGAAGTTTATGTATTTTATGTCTCTCAGATCATATTAGCCATCGGGCAGCGTGTGCAGTTATGCAGTCAGCTAACAAAGACAATATACATTCAATTTCCTGTCTTGCCTGATGAGATGAAATACAGTTCTGCAAGTAAGGTCAGATGACTGACTTCAGAATGATATAATCTTTAGCTGAATGTAAGGGACTATGATCCTAAGAAAAAGGAAGCTTTGGTAATGTTTCTAAATGTAGATGAACAGAAAACATGTTCTTTCACCTGTTCTTTCATTTAATAAATCTGAAAAAGTTACGATGTTCTGCAAGATTAGATAGAGGCTCTATCTTCATAAGTGTTCATTCTTGGCCTTTGTTACACAGATCATGTGTGGACTGAAGTATATTCTTCATCTCAGAAAAGATGGCTTCACTGTGATCCTTGTGAAAATGTGTGTGATAAGCCTCTTCTTTATGAAACTGGCTGGGGAAAGAAGCTCTCCTACATAATTGCATTCTCCAAAGATGAGGTAGGAGTAGTGATGCTAATAATAAACAAACTTGCCCTGAAGCAAGTGTGCAATGTATTCCACCTTGGTGTGATTTTCAGAATTATTGTAGAAAAGCATACTTTCTTTAACTAGTTTCTTTAAATGAAGCAAGATACATGGAATTTTTTGGTTGCTTTATTTTCTTTCACTTGTGCTTGAGGTTGTTGATGTCACCTGGAGATACAGCTGTAAACATGAAGAAGTACTCTCCAGAAGGACAGCACTCAGCGAAGCTACACTGCGAGAGACAATTAATGCACTAAATAGAACGGTATGTGACTTTTCTTCAATGGGTTTCTGAGAGTGAAACACAAGTATCTGCACAATGTGAAGTCCTCAAACAAAGGAATGCATTTGGTAACCTCATAGGAATTTCCATGCACTGTGGATATAAAAAATGCTGTTAATTACCCATTTTACCCTGAATACATAGGAATCAGTGTGTGATGAACTTACTGGAAATAAGATAAATGATGGTATGTAAGATGATTGTCATATTATCTCTTATATACACAGATATGTGCATATATATTATTTTTCTTAGGAACTTTAGAGCAAATTTGTACTTGCTAGGAGTAAACTGCAACTGCTGAGTAACTTGTATAACTTAGTAACTGTGTGGGCTCCTTCAGGGTGACTGAATGTTTTCCACATCAGTGCTGCTATAATTTGAAAACAGTAGCATTTACAATTGTAAGAAATGCAGGTTTAATTTGATTTTAGTGAGTTTTTACAAGCACTAGGAAGTGAGAGGAATGATTCACGGACTGTTTTGAAGCCTTTCAAAAGGTGTTGATACCATCAGCAGAGTTTTGACTCAGAGCCACATGTATTTACATTGTTCATGCTGAACATCCCAAAAGTACATGGAGCCATTTGCACCTGCATGTCATGTTTGCAGAATCTGTCTGCTAAGGTTTTTCCACTCCTACCTGGGACACCATGAACTTGGTTCAATATTCTATAATACCATAAAACCTTGAACCACCTTGAGGTTTCAGTTTTGTCCTCCCTTCCTTACAGGGCTAATTCCCATGCATGGAAACTTTAGTTCCAGTGGTAGTATACAGCTGATGACGTAATAAACAGATTATGACTTTCTTGAGGCCTGCTGGCTTGAGAGTTATAGCCATACATTAAGATTGTGAAGAATTGAGCTGGAGTAATATTTTGAGACCAGGGCTTGAAATCATTTTAACAGTAATGAAAAATTAGAGTCACCTAGCAGAGCGGAGCACTGAGAAGAGTAACCAGAACAGCAAGGCAAAAGGAGGTGTAGGATCAAGTTGAGGAATGCATGCTCTTTGTGCAGAGTTGCAGGAATCTAGTGGTGTCCCCTCCAAGCCATGAACCCCTGCTGGTTACAAAGCTAATCTGAGGGGTCCTTTCTTCTGATCTTTTGGCAAAAGAAACCAATCACCACATTCTTCACCTCCACAGCTGTCTGTACAGAAAGATCTTTGGAAATAGGGCACTAGTAAGTTGGAAAATTTCCCAGACAATATTGATGGAATCAGAAAGCTATGCCATCGTTGTCAATTCAGTGATGTCACTGTAGGATCATGCTCTGTTTCACTTAAAAAGTTTAGGAAACATCTGCAAAATGTGTCATTGCCATCTCTAACAGATCGTGCTTCATGTTGGTCTGTTTCTTACTCCTTTCCACCTCCTTTACAGGACTGTGCAGCTCTCAAGCTGACATGAGCACTTTTCAGATGAAGAATAGAATAGAATATCTGATCATAGAAGAACAGAATTCTGGTCATACATTATATGAAAATTTAAAAATAATAGAGGGAAGAAAGTTATACCTGTGTTTCCAGTACCTTCTCTGTGTTTTTCCTATCTCTCTTTCCCTACATGTGAAAAATCCCAACCCTTTCATCTCTATGCTGTTGCTTTCCCTGCTGCTTTCCAGTGTTATTAAAGCTGTCTTGTAATTTTATAAGAACATCTTTTGTCAGTCTTTTTAATCGTATTCTATTCTGAGGAGCAAGTTACTCTCTCTACAAAGTGAGTGATACACTCCTCCTGCTACATACACTATTCAGAATGTTTGATTAATTTAATTTATTAAGTTAATAAATGTAATCCCTGTAAGTATCTGCTCTTGCTCCTTTTTTTATTTGTCACTTACAATAAGAATTAGATTTCAGAGTCTTAGAGGCCGTTTGCCATCCAGTTGCTGAAAGGACTGGGTGTCTTTCCTACATTTGTCCTAGTTAAAAGGCCCTTCCTAGAGTTCATACTAAGGACAATACAGTGAGGAAACAGGGGACTTCAAAAAGTTGGTGTCCAGGATTCTCCATGTTGTACTTTGCAGTCGCAAAGGGCAAAGGTAACTCCTCCCTGGAACTTTAAAGAAGTGTTAGAGCAAGTTTCCGTTACTCCATTCAGTCACAAGCCTCTAGCCAGTATGGTTTCCTTCATTGCAGCCTATTCAGACAATAACTGTTGTAGAGGCCTCCTCTAAATTGCCCTTTTCCCATCATCTCCTAGAGACTGTCTCCACAGTTGGAGGAATTAGTCTTTGTACTGCTTGGTGCAGAGGTCTAGTGCTGTGTCTATCAGACTCAATTTTTCTAAGTTACAACTAAGGAGAAGCACAGTGTGCAGTACACATTATCACCTGTGTTAACGAAAATGGAGTCTGAGGGATCATTTTTGTCTTTCCTGCATAAAGAGCAAGGGCTGTGGCTGTTACTTCTCTGGATGTCTGTCTGTTCCATTGCCAAGCAGAGGCCACACAACAGTTCAGAAGTTGTTGAGTGGTTTGCATAGCAGACAAGATTAAATTAATCTCTTCTGTACTTATTTTATTTCTCAAAAATAATTTGTGTATTTTATCTGGGTCAGGCATTCCTAAATGTGTGTATAGCCTTTGCATTACCCACTATCTGATAATATTCTGTAGTACTATAGCACATATTGACACAAATTTTCTTCACTTACTGCCATATTCCAGGCTATTGTCTGTTATCCCGATGGAAGGTGGGGGAGGACGCTGAACTTTCACTGCTTTCATTAGAATTTGGATGGTGGAACAGAGAAGCAAATTATTTTTTTATTTGCTCTCAGCTCCAATTTTTTGGTAGTGATTATGAATGGTTATAGCCAGGTCAACTGTTGATAGGAAAACTAATTTAGGTTGGATTACAAGCATTTCATGCTCATTAATGTGAGATGAACCAGTGTTCTTTGTCAAAGGTTTAAAATTCCATTCATGCCCTCAAATTATCTGTTGCTCATCCAGCAGTAAGCCTACTTGAACTATTGGTTTTATATAACTATATATATATATATATATACAGTTATATATATATATATTATATATATATAGTTTTATATATATATATATATAGTTATGTATAGTTATATATAACTGTGGGTTATTGGTCTCCTGAAAGAAGAGAGTCCTTCAGGAAGCATCAACAGCACAACTTGTACATGACACAGAACTGATTTTAGAAGTGCAGTTCACCATCCTTCTTAGTACCTTTGTCTGCCAAAGAAAGGTGATGCCTGACCAAGTATGTAGAGGGTAATACCTTGAAACAAACAAAACAACAACAACAAAACCCAAAAAACTAAAAACCAAATAACCCAACCAAAAAAAAAAAACAAACCAAAAACACAAAAGCAGGAAGTTTGAGCCACGGCAGCTGGAGTTTTTGCAATCCATTTCTGATGACAATGTCATTGGTAGGAAATGTAGTTACAGGTTTCCCAGCACAGGCTGTGTTGATGTCTGCTGAGTCTGAGTGTTTGGCATGTTGGACCTGCTGCATTTCTGTGCAAGAGTCTGGGTGGCAGGAGATGACAAGAATTAGCATACTTGTGTTGTGCTCTTTATACTTGAGGGACTTACTGTTTTCTTGTATTATGCATGATGAGGTGTGTTTTCTGAACCCTTTTCATGTCGAAGCACTGCTCTATAACAGGTTTTTTAGCTGTTGTTACAAAAACTACACAGCACCCAGTTCTCAGCATGACATCAGTGATTTCAGTGGTGATGACCACTGACACTGGGTTTCCACTACATCAAAGTGCTTAAAGGAAATTGTGAACTGGTGTTGTTAATTTAGGATGAACCATATCAAACTTCCTCTGAGCTGGAGCAAGATCAGTACTGCTGCATAGGGATATCCTAAGTGTCAGGGCAACTGTTAGATTCGGGAAGGCCTGATGTTTCATGGGAAACTGCTGCAACCGGTGCTTGTCATCCATCAACACAAGTAGAGGTGTGTTTCCCCCCTTGCTGTGTTAGAACTGGTATTTGGCATCTGGAATATGTTCAGCTGGAGCTGTTTTTTGTCATTTCTCTGTATCTACTTTCCTGTATACAGTTCCACATTGTTGACGGAAGCAAAAACGGTCTTCAGATGTTTCTTTTGTGATCTCTATTAGCAAAACTAGCTGGGATCAGAGCTGCTTTTGAGATAATTGAAATGCCTATCAGCCTCAAGTGTCAGGTCCCAGTGGGCTGAGTGTGCATGCCTTGGGTGATCACCAAAGCAGAAAAAGAGATGTGTGTAATCATTTACATACTCAATGTTGAACTTAATTTTTTCAGTCCCATGTGGGTTTATTCACACCTAAAAAACTGAAAAGCTTCACATTCCAGATTTGTATATTTGACATGAAAACCATGTAGACAAAATACTAGCATATCAGTGAAATTTTAAAAGTTGTTTACCAAAAAACTGCTCATAGTTTTATTCATGTAGTCAAAGAAGACATGTAATTCTTTTTATTTTTCACTAATTTTTCTGGAACTAAGTTTTTCTTTGTTTTCTGACATCTGAAAAATGGAGATGTCAAGGTTTGTTTATGACAGAATCAGTGAAATAACTCTTTGAAAGACTTTTATTTGGGCTTAATCACAAAACCAAAACTGTTGTCAATCAAGTCACTCCACCTTCGAGAATTAAAATTTGACCACATGTGATTCTTGCCTTCTCTTTCCTCCAAATAATATTGAGAACAGCTATGGTACAGTATACATATGAATAGCTATAAAAACTGTTATGGAAGTGTTTTATTGTCCAAGTAAATATTGAAAACAAAGGACAAATGTTATTTTAAAAGAATTCCACATAGTGTCTGCAAGTTCTTAGGGAAAGCACTGCCGTCTCATAACTGTACACTTATGACTGCTTTATATTTCTGTCTGTGGTATAAGTTTAATGCTTCTAACAATTGGTCTAGACTTTAAATGTTTATCTGCTTTTTCAATTACGTTTTTCCCTATTAGTGTCACTCTAGAGCAGAATTACAAATACCATTTTTTCAGAATGTTTTCTTTTTTCCTAAATGTCTTTTTTTTCAGAGACAAAAGTCTTTGTCAGAAAATAGAAAAAGAGAGCTCCTGGAAAGGACTATTGTGGAGCTTGTTGAGTTTATTTCTCCTAAAACACCTAAACCCGGCGAATATGGTGGAAGGACATCAGGCTCAATGGCTTGGCGAGTAGCCAGAGGTGAAATTGGTCCAGAGGTATTTAACTTTTGCACTGCTGACCATCTTAGAGGTAGCTAACTAAGGCTTCATTATTATGATCTGTAAAAAAAAAACATGGTAGGTAGCCAGATTCAGCTCAAACAAGTGAATCTTGCAAAAACATCAGGTGAAAGTTTGATATGAGTTCAGTAGAGGTCCACAGGTAATTTTTGAGAATTGATGGTGGAGAATTGATTCTAATAGTGTTTGGGACTTCTTGATGTAAAGTGCATTTTGTTCTTAAAAGTTAAAAATACCTTTTTTATTTAAATTAGTCTGACAGAAGTAGAAAGTATGTTAGTTGAAAAAAATTGGGAAAACTGTAAAAAATTTTTGTATTTGTATTATTAGTTACTTCCAGGTTTTAACCAATAGTAAGTTTTGACCAACTATTTTTGTTAATCAATTAACAAAATTGGGAGCAATTAGAATTGTGTAAATTAAGCAATCACTTAAATAATAAGCTTGATTGATTTTCACATCAATATTTTTTTACTGTTTCCAAAAGCAAGACTTAATTATTATTTATTTTATGCTAAGATACAGTTTCCCAGAACCATAATAATATTTAACTTGAACCATAATAATATTTCACTTTGAGGATGCAAAGGTGTGGCATCAATTTTGTAGCAATCCAGTCATGTGGAATGTCTAATTGTCCTAAATAGAAACAGTTAAGTGAAATTAATGAGTTTCTTAGGATTGTCTAATTTTCAGAAACTAATAGTTTATTGCAATTCTCTGTTGTTTGGAAAACTTAATTTCTGAAACTCATAAGAACAATGACTTTAAAAAAAAATAATACTATGATGCTACGAAGTTTGTACTTTAAGTTTTTTGAAGTTGGCTTGTAAACAGGTATACACAAGCACCTGTACATAGTAGTCACAGATTTGCTATTCAGAATAACCATTTACTTACTGTACAGGTAATGTATTCAACATATAAATTTTCTGTTCTGAAACTAATTTCTTACTTAAATTACATTATTTCATGTTAATTTGGTAAAAAATTACTTCTAAAAGAAATTACATGAAAATTTAAAAAATAAAATTACTCCTCCCCTCTGGAAAAGTTACAGGTGTACTGTAGGAAACTGGTTTAAAACATTTCTTCTGCAGAAATGGTTTTGTGACCTCTCTTAAAAAGGACATTTTTTTTTTCACTTGGCAGCAAAACTGAATTGCAAAACCATGACATACTGTTTAAAAGTAACATAGTCTTGGGGGAATTTAGGCATTGGGGAGTGAAGGTGCGTCTGTTTTTTGGCTTTTTCAGAAAAGAAAAGAAGTAGTTTTTATTCCCTCTGAAAAGGAGAAGACATCTAAACTGTTCCATCTCATCTACAATGTAATAGATGATAGTTATACACGGATTTCCAATAACAGTGAAAAAATAAGTGGCTGGGAAGCAGGTGTTTGGAAGGCAGAATCTGTTTGGAGAAAGGTTGAAACAGATTGGAAAATGGTAAGAATAGGAATTATTAAAAGCCTATAATGTACAGTAAAATTGTGGTAACTCCAGTAAAAGAGAAAACCCTTGCCAATGTTTGTATTCAAAACCTCTCTTGGTGCTCATAGAATTTAGCTGATGTTATAAATGCTGTTGTTAAGATCCAGTAAGATGGCCAGATGGTACAAGAAATTAGAAATAAATATAACTTGTCTTTCAGAAAGGATGATTGAATTCTCTGCAGGTAGGTAAAATCCTTGCCAGAACACCAAATTTTAAAAAGTGGCTTCCTTCTTAGACTTTTGGGAAAATGCTGTTTCATTGAAAAGCAGTATTTCTTGAATTGAAACAAAAAAGGTACTTGTTGTTTTAAGAGTAATTTTATAGTGTATATCTCTTTGATATACAGCCAAAGGAAGAAATTGTCATCCTAAATAACACAATTCCATCTGCAAGAAGACAAAAACCTTTCAGTTACCCAGAATATTGTATACCCTGCCCAAAATCTTTCCCAAATGTCAGGACTGAGCAGCACAAGAGTCATAGGCTCTAGATCTAGGAAGAGAACTGTTACCTTGAAGTGGGAAGGGATTGTGTACTAGCAAACAGCTTTTCCCACGACAGGAACCAACTGTGGAACAGAATGTTCTTGTCAGGGACTAGAGCATGTTACTCCTTTTTTCCTTTGCCATTTTACTAGTCTGAAGGGTCTCTGACCAAATATTCTTCTAGCTTCCCACTGATGAAAATGGAGCTAAGTATGTATCTGCCTTTTGAGATTTTCTCTCCTGGGTCTGTACATAACTGATTTGCAAAATGTAATGGGGGAATAACTTGAAGAGGCTATGCTGTACTAAAGAGAATAAAGAGAGAAACAGGAGAATAGTATGAAAGATGTCACAATGGAGTAAACCTAATAGTAAAAGAGAAGTAACAAAAAGCTCAGAATAAGGGACAGGTGTTCTGTTCTTCCCCAGGATCTGCTAAAAATCTGATAGCACGTTATGTTTTCAATTCTGCAATGATCAGTTATCCTCACTTTTGCAAGAAACATGCTGTCCCTGCACTGAAACTAAACTACAATTTTTCTCAGCTCTACTAATCAAATAAGACAGGGTGAGACTGATCTATAAGACCAGGCAAAAAGACTTTACCCTTGTATTCAGTAACACATCCAAAGGATGAGATGATGGCACTGAGAAATTAGGAGCTACAGCTCTAGGTCTCTCTCAAGCTTGTGGGTAAGGCATGTTAGTTCTGCAGGAATTGCATCCTGCAGAAAGTGTGTAAGAATCTAAGAATTTGAGATTACTTTTCATTGGGTGTTGTTTGTATAATGGGAGATAACAGCAGAGGGAGAGATTGTTACAGGTTTGCCTGTTCTTTTTGTACAAGATGCAGCTTTGGACTTCGATTCAGCAGCTGTCCAAGAGCTTAAAAGCCAAAGGAACCTTTACAGGAGTACTTGGTAAACATTTATTATGTGATGAATGGCAAGGCATTTAAATCTAAAAGCCACAGAAAATATATCTGTAAGCATTAGACCAGGAGTACCAGAAAAGAACCATTTGGTTTCATGGTACAGAATGCAAACAGGTACAAATCACAAATTGAGTCAGATTACCTGGAGATAACCTGGTATCCAGGACTCAAGCAGGCAGACTACAGTAAATAATAGTGTAAGAACCTGTAGATCTGAAATCCATGGATTTGTCAAAGGCTTGTTTTCCAGAAGAATTGCTGCCGTGGAAGAGAATTTGAATGGGTTGGTTGGTTAGGTTTTTTCCTCTGAATTCAGACATCTTTCAAATAATACTAGAAACAAAACAACCAAATTTGAAAGTTAGAGGAAAGTCAAGAATAAACAAAAGAAATCTTTAAGTTATTTTTTTCTGATTAAATGCTTGGATATTATAATGAAAGATGAAACAGACTAATGCCTGAGGCTTTTCTAGTGTTCAAAATTATATTTTTAGTGCCTTTCAACCAAGTAGTATTTAATGGGGTGTTTTGGCTTCCTTATTCAAGTACAGCAGTTCAGTAGGATCTGATCAAGGGAAAGCTCTTGCTAGAACCACATTAAAAAAACGTGTGGAGGCCAGCACCTTAGTGAACATTAAGATTACATTCACATGAAAACAGCTTAAATCATTAAATTTTCATAGGTGGTCTTCAGTGTAAATCCTCACACCTTTGGGGTTTTTGAGCTTTCTTCAACACGAAAATAGTAACACTAAAATTTTGTTTACTAGTCTGTCAATGACATTTCTATATTAGGGTGTGATCTTTTGGAAAACAAGCTACTGTGTTTTATCATTTTATTCTGGGTTGTGTTTTCAAGATTAAAAAATGAAGAGCTGACTAAGTCCACTCAGTATGATATTAATCAGAAGCTTGGACATGACAGAATTTTTATTAATTTAGGATTCCAAAAGGATCACGGTAGTTTGGACTCTTTAATCAGTAGTGTCTGTTATTTAGGTTTACTGATAATAGATGTTGGACTTGTCAGGCACTTGTGACCAGATTCTTGAGAGGGTTCACAGTAATTGTAATGAATGTTAATATGTGAGCGTGACTGTTCAGCCAGGTGAAGTTCAGAACAGCATTGGGACTAAATTAAATTGTGCAAAGTTGTAGCAGTTCAAATAATGTTAATATGCGATTTACAAATGGCTGGCATGAATGATTTGCTTTAACTGAGACACATCAAGTCCTAGGAGAAGCAGTGTGCAGGCACAGCTGAAGAATCTACTGATTGCACAGTTCTTTTCATCAACAGTACTGAACAACTGAAGTGTTCTGTTAATTTAAAAATACATCAAATTCTCCTTCTTTAAAAATAATAAACTTAAGTGTTTTTGTGGCTTGAAATTTGCTATGGATGTTGAAATAGCAAGGGGCTATGAACATGTACAATTACCTAACTGGAATATACTTGAGGATGAAGAAGGAGTTTTTTTTGCATAAAATTGTACTTAGTACATTTTTAAAGGTTCAGGGGCTTGACAAAGAGTGAGAGTGTGTTATCTTGAGATTTTTATGTCATTGTTATGAAGATTAATTTGATGTGTTTTGGTCATCTCAGTTTTTGACAGTTTTTGCTGGTTGTCTTCTTTCCGTGTAGGTTTATTTAGCTCGAAAAGAGGGGTCATCCTCTGCTTCTGTCAGCTGGAAGTTTGAGTGCAAGTCAGTCGGTCTAAAAATAGATAACATTTCAGTTAGGACAAGCAGTCAAACATTTCAGAGTGGAAGAATACAGTGGAGACTTTGCTCTCCTACAGCAGAAGTTGCTCTGATAGGAGGTAAGTCTGGAATTTAAATAATGAATTATATCATGTAGCAGAGGTGTAACTGGAAATAGTTTATGTGGAGAGAGTGTGCAAACATTAAAAACAAAATATGAATATTCTTTACTTTTCCAACAGTGTTTCTTAGCAAGGCCAAGAAAATACTGTGCATTTAAATCAAGCTGGTACAAAACTCAGTTTTATTAATATACACTACCTTAACAGAGCAGGGCAAGCAGGAGCGGGGAGTTAATACAAGATACCTGTGTTTACTAGGAAGGATAGATACATCTGTGTCTGGTGGCAAATGAGTAAGAGTAGTTGCAGCTGAGATCCTTAAACATCCGTTACAGCTTAGCTTTTTTAACGTGCATTCTATTATTATATACTGTCTGGGGCTGTGGCTTACTCAATTATTTATTTATCTTTTCCTCCAATAGATAAAAATCTTTGCTCCTATTCAGATTTTTCTGGAGCAACAGAAGTTGTGTTGGAAGCAGTTTTAAATGGAGGGGATGGTGAAGCTGCATGGCAACACACACAGCTGTTTAGAGAGAGCTTAACAGGATGTGGGGAAAATTGCTTGGAGATGATTATAAAACTCAGTGACCTCTGAGAATCTGAGCTGCAGAAATGTACTTTGGAATCCTTGAAGACATTATACCATGGATACAACATGAAGATTTGGTTGGCAATTCCTCTTCATCCTGCTGGCAGCTTATTTCCTGTTTCACTGCTTCCATTAAACCAACTTGAAACTGCACGTGTACTGAATAGGTAAACATCACAGTGAGAACCTCTTTGCTATAAAAACACCAAAATTAAGGGATTGAACTATAAAGTACCCTTAAACTTTACAATGAAAAGGAAACAACATTTTTAGGAAGCAATACATGATTATAGAAGCACAAAGCAATTGTAATTGATTTTAATTTGGAGTTTTGGGATTGGCTTGCTGGTTGTTTTGGGTTTTTATAATCTATTTGGAAAAACAGTTTGAATTCTGTTTTCCAATTCCAACAGATGCTTGTGATGATTTTAAAATATTTTAAGCAATGTTAGAGGATTTAGACATTTTTTAAAAAATTTGATTTTGTGTAGTATCCAGAAGTGCAGAAATTAAGTTAATTTCAAGATTGCTTCAAAATTTCCTTGTTAGATGTCTAAGTATTAAACCCATGTTTAATACCTAGAACTATTCAGAAGCATGATGGTTGCTGGAAAAAATAACCTCATTTTGAAATAAGTGTTCATTATATACCTAAAATTGTCATGGCCTGTGATATGAAATTGAGGCTTAAAACTGATTAAGAACATGGTATTTTTTTCTATGAAAAAATAGGTTATTCAATATAAATACTTTTTAATGATATTAATTCAGATTTGCTTAATAAATCTTTTAAAAGGTAGACATGTAGGTTGAAATCCTTTTAAGCTATTGTCTTGACTTGCTTCAAATACTATTCCCAGATGTGATGTAAAAGCATATACATTTTTTTTCTGTTCAATTAATGCAGTGTTTAAATTTATTTTCAGTCAATATAATAAAAAATACTATCCAGGAGATGTCAGATGTTGCTATGAATAAAGCATGGAGTGAATGTTCAGATTAGATAGTCTTTTTCAGAATGTGAGGAAGGCCATGCGTGGATTATACAAGAGATTTTCTATTACAGAACTAAAATGCAAAGTTCAAACTATGGTTTTATTTTAAAATAAGTGAGAATTAAGGATGATGTTCTCAAGATCAGTATTTTTAAAGATTTTCTTCCTTTTTCTGACCTTTCCAACCTCTGTATTGAAGTGTTTGTCAAAAATAATTTATGTTGAAATAAATGTTTGCTGACCTTTCAACAAATCTAAGCAAATATAAAACTATTCAGATTTTATTAGAAAACTGCATATGCACAGTGAACACAGGCATCTTAAAAAATAGTAGATTATGGCAGCTCAGAAGTGACAGAACAATGTGTGATGGATTATATACCCTTTACTTCAGAATGTAAATGGAGAGTTTATGAGGGGAATTAGAGTCAGGGAATCCCTGTAATACAGAATAGCACAGTGACAGGGTACTGTATTGTACACACTGGAAGGGTGTTTATCAGTGCTTGACTAATGCAAAGTGAATTTGCCAGTCTCCATTTTAAACTACTTCTCTGTTTAGTTTCAGTTAAACGCTTTTTCTGAGATTTTGACTAGGAGCCAAACAGAAAATTATTTTAGCCTAATATGGATACTACATTGGAAGAAAAAAGGAAAAGGAGGAAAACTCAGGTACCACCAATCAACAAAAATGTTTCCACTTAATATTTTGATAGCTGAAAAAGTTAGTGCTTTAAGGCAGAAATTGTTTTTGCAGTGGAATTGCAAGAATTCTTAACCTTGAGGAATTGCAGAATTCTTTAACTGCATCTGATAATTTGAAATCAGAAGGAAAAATAAATTTAAAAGTAATAAAGTAATTTTCTCATAATTTTGATCAGAATCTCTGGGGGAAATGTAATAGCTGCAGATAACTTAAAACAGTAAAGTAATTTAAGTCAATTTTTAAAAAGTTGCAGTGAATTAAAAAGATGGAAAAATGCCTTGCCAGTCTAATTAATGAAGAAGTACTTCTGCATTTATGAGATCACATGCAATGAATAGATTTTAGGAAAGAATTAATAAATAAAACACTCAGGCTGAATAGAGCTAATATGAAAAATTTAAATGGAACTCCTTCAGTTGTCTTTTGGAATACCCTATAAACAGTGAACACATGAATCTCTTCATACATAAGCTGTTTTAAAGACACTAATTTCCTGTGTTGTTCTCCATTTCAGCCCAACTCTTAATATATTTTAATTAATTATTTTTCTTAACCAGAGGTAACTCCTCATCCACAGTTGTTTAATGTTAACTTAGAATATCCTGAATTTGCAGTATTACGTGGTGGAAAGATCTGTGCTGCAATCTGCTCTAAAACTATGGGTATTAAGTTATGCTGGCAGTGGTACAGTACTGGGTGAGTGGTAGATGTTGATCAAGGCACGTGTAGGTAGAAGTCAGTGTTTACTCAACTTTTTATAGAGTACTTGGATAGCAGATAACTTTTTATAAGTTTGAGGAGGTAGAGATTAAATGGGGAAATGAAGAACACCGTTGCCTAGAAATGTATGGCTTAATACAGGTAAAATCAGCAATGTTTTCTAGGATCCAGCTTAGGTATATTTTACAGAACAACTGGCTGTCAACCGTGCCATTTGTTGGTGCCTTCCAAGGTTGCAACTGAGGTCTAACAGTGAAATCTTTTCTATTAAAGTTTACATTAATACTATCCTACCCAGTTAATGCTTGCAAACTAATTTGGGGGTGCATGGTTTCCATCAGAATAATGTGGGAGCCTGTGGACAGAATTCCTCCTTTCAAACAAACATTTGTTGTACTGTTGTCTGTCTAGAGTTGATCATCCAGCTGTTGATTTCTTCATATCCTGTTTTGATACTTCATGCTTAGTAATTTCCTACACCACAGGAAGTTGCTGGGAAGATGTGTCCTTAAAATATATGAAGGAAGCCCCTTCTAGGCAGTATAGAAAGAAAGAAGAGGCACAAAGCTCAGGTATGCAGGAATCAAACTAACTTTGGTATAAACTATATAGCTTAAAATGAGAAGCAAGTGGTGAAAATTGTCATGTCTGATCCTGTATGTAAATCTGTCTCAACTTCTGTTATCTTTGGAAGATTTTTCACATATAGTGGGTTGGATTTAAGATATAATCCTTATTATGTGCAACATCAGGAAATGTAGAACACTAAAAATAAAGTGTGTTTGTCTCCATAGTGCGGTGGAATGAAAACAGATGGCAGGCAGCACATATGACTGCCAGAAGCTGGGAACACCCATTTGCAGAGTTCTTGCAGCTCTAAACAAAACAAGTCAAAACAAAGGAACTCCAAGAGGGGTAGAGATTGTTCCAGGCAGATATCAGGATATCTGTCCTCCACGCCCACACTCCTCATTTGTTTACCTTTGGTTGCTCAAGCTAGAAATGGAAGTATACTACTAGTTAAGAATTTATTGGACCTTCTTAGTATTTGTCCAAACTTAGCATTTCTTAAGTACAGGCATTATTTAAAATCTCTAGTTTCTATTGTAGGTTCAAACCTCTGGGTTAGGACAAAATCTGAAGTTTTGCCAGTGTTGTCCAAGCAATTTGACAACATAAAAAATGTGCCAATATTGAAGGGAGTTTTGTATGTCAGCTTCATGTCATTCGGATGGTTGAGAAGGAAATTGCAGACCTGTGTCTTCCTTAAACACAGCTGCTGGAATAGACTTGTGTCCTTTCTCTCTGTCTTAGTTTAGGGCAAATTAGGAAGGAAAACTCCAAATGGGGATTTCCCCAGGGAAATGCCCCTCCCCACTAACTGGTCCGGGAAAAGAAAAAATTCCTTAGAGAGAAGTGGAAAAAGCTGTTTATTTAACAGAAATTGAGTAATATTAAATAATAAAACCTCTTGCTGTTCGATGGGATGGCAAATCTAGGAAGAAATAAAGTCCTTTTCATGTGGTGTAGCTCGGCTCGCTCAGGTTCTTATCAGTCCCTCCGGCGCTGGAAAGTGCCGAGGCCCAGGCCCCGGTGGGCCACAGGCGTGAGCTCCCGGGGTTTGGCTGGGTGTTCAGTCCAGAGCAGGCTTGCACAGATCCAAGAAAATTGGGAAAAAAACAAACAAAGGTCCAGGGAACTCCTCTGCCTCAGCTAGCTAGAACTAACTAGAAGCCAGAGAGAAGCTCTGTCCCGCTGTCTGTCCGTGCTGCAGACACCACAGTCCAGGAGCGGGATGTGTGGGAGTGATGTTTTTCCTTAACACAAACTGCGCGCTTCTTCTTCCCCCTCTCTTGCTCTCAAAGCCAGTCTTAAAGGTGCAGAACTTAATATATAACATAAACCAGACGATTGGGGATACCAGTATCATAAAGTCACCCCAGGACACTCTACTTTGAATATTTTGAGGGAATTTATTAAACATTATTGGCAGTTGTTGAGCTTACCTGGTGCTAGTTCTGAAGGTTCTTTATGGAGTATTACTGTTGCAAGTAATGCTTTATACCTTGTACCTTATGGCCTCTCTAAACAGTAATCAGTAATGTAATGTGGACTATGTGTACCTCTGTGATCACTGGTCATATAGTTGTCAACATCAGCAGAAGGGAAGAGTAATTGCAATAATACCTGACAGAATTTTGGATTTTTTATGCTAGTCTTTGATATTTAATCCAAGCAGAAGGACAGTAGAGTAAAAAAAAAAAAAAAAAGTCTTTAGTAGATTGAAGCAGTTTCTTTTTTACCAAAGCTTTTAATTTCAGGAGCAGAATTTTGAGACCTGCCAGCCTATATTATAGAACTTGGGAATGATTAATTAACAGTCCAAGGTCAAGTATATGTATTTTAGGTGTACAGGTATTATGAAATGTGTAAAGGCTTCAATGTGACAGTGAATAAGACACCAGTGATTTTCTCCATTGTTAAGATTTTTATTCTTATTCTTGGGCTTGGGGGTTTTTTTATGGTAAGCTTTGTAATTAGGCTTTAGCTTTGTTTATTATTAGCCTGCTTCAGTTTCTGCAGCTTTTTTTTCCTCATCTAATTTAAAGTACATTTTAATTTGCTTTAATTTATGTACGGAATTGCAGCTGTATGGTAAATACACAATGACAAAAAATAAGTTGGTTTATTTGGTAAAAGGAGGTGAAAGGAATAGATGGAAATATTCAGACTCAGCAGAAAAAAAAAGCAATAGTAATTAAAATTGATGATACCCAGAAACCAACAAAATTATGAGGACTTAATAAAATTTTATTGCAGAAGAAAATGTAATGGACTACATAAACTGGTGCTGGCAAAAGTAGCTTCCAATGACTGACCCTGTTTTTGAGACATTTTATTGTGTGTTTATTTATATTTAGGTCACTAAAAGTTTTCAGTAGAAGAAAATTGCTGAGACCAGTGAATGGCTTTTTTTGAAAATCCATCTGAGATTTAAGGAATAAATATTTAAGGGTTTAAATAGTTTTTATTTTTACTAGTCAAAGCTATAGAAATAATTTTTAAAATTAAGAATAAGGTCCCACTTGTTATAGATAATGTCTTCCTTTGTTCCGGTGAATAATCTTGATCTTTGATTTTTGAAGAAGTGTGTTTAGTGACACATTGTAACCAAGAGCTTTAGGTCCACATTACCTGTAAAGATGTGAGATTTCAGTGTAGCATTGAGCATCTGCTTAGACTTGAAGCCCTGAGTCTCCCGTTAGAGGTCTGTTAAACTGTGGGAAAGATGATTTCACTATGCATTTTTATGGTAATGTTTCAGTGTATGTTCTGTTAACTTGACCCCTTTATTACATAATGCTGAGTGTTATTTCATATCCTTGGAACTTCAGTAATATAGTGTATTATCCTTGAAGTCCCAGGGGAACATACTTTCCCCACTGAAAATCATCAACTAGCAGCTTATATCTGTTGCAATCAAGAGGAAATGCTGGACTTACTTTAGATAAGCACTTTGGTAACAATATACAGACTCCCCTGTGGAACAGTCATAAAGAAATCAGCTGACGTAAGAAAATGAAGACATGGGAGAGCACTGTTTAAGCAAACTCGAACTAAAGTAGGTGGAACAGTTGGTGACAGTCAGAGCAAATGGAAACAGCAATGAAGTACAGAATGGAAGGAGAGAGCCTCACTTCTCACCTCTGCATTATTACCACTGTGAAGAGAAGGATGGAAGGTAATGGAATATATGTGTGTCTATGCTTGCATTATGTGAGAAGTCAAAATAACACAGTTAAGCTGCAGCAGCTTTTACCTTTAGCCAAAGTGCCAGGGAAATGTGTGGTATATAAAAAAGCAAAGTTCACTGCTGGCAAAAAGGATGTAAAACTTTATTGTCTGAAAAGGAAGTGCCTGGTTTTGGACTGCATTATGGACAAGAATTGTGGCGCTGTTCTGGTTTGGTTTAGTATGAAGCATGCCCCAAACTGGTTTTGATTTGTGTTTTCTTTAGTTAAGTTGTGTAGATTGGAGTTTCTGCCTGAGTATGCTAATTTCCATGATGTTGGCAATAATGGTTTAAAAGAAAATAGTCCCTCCTCTCCCCCCCCCGCCCCTCCCCGAACTAAAACAAAACATTCAAAATAAAAAATAAACACCCCCACTAAGGATGTAAGAACAGAAACAGGAAGTGTTAGAGGCTGCAGTTTAATTTTAGCACTAGAGGGTGGAAAAAAGTTAAGATCAATGCTGATTAATGAATGTCAAATTTGTATAATTTGGGGACTTGTTTAAGAAAAGCTAATTGTTTCCTTTTTTTAAATAAATATTTTTTGAAAGGAATTTGTATCATCATGGAGCCTTTCAAAACAGCCTTAGGAAGTTCTTGCCTAAGGGTCAGTTCTATGCAGGATCTGCCATTATAAGTTGACTCAGCCTCTAACAATATTACAAGTCATATCAGTTCTTCCTCTACATTTCAAAGTCTGTCTTTGATAATGGTATTTTTAAAATATAAATACATTTGATTTTTTTTAGTAAGGGTAAAACCCCAGAGTTCATATTCAGTGCAACAGACATTGCAATTTTTCTTGGCTATACACTGTAACTATATACTCTGCAACTTCATTTTGTAGTTTTATTTCACATTTTAAGGCTTGCTAGTAATTCATATTTGTACACCAGCTTGTAGGTGAAAAAAAAGAATTAATGTGTGACAGAAAGATATGAAGAAATGGGCTTTCAACCATACACAACATAAGCATAACTTTCTGAAGACACAGCAATGTGCATTTCTGGCCCACAGAAACAAAATCTGTGGTAGGAAACAGAATAAGAAACACTTGCCACTTTTCTATTTTTGATTTCATTTATTTCACATACAGGACTGATTACCAATCATGTGAGGAAATTGAACCTTTTGTAAGCATTCAGTGAAAAATACAAGGTTCATCTGTGAACAGAGCATGGAAACAACATGTATGCCAGTGAAAGAGTGGCTGAAAGATTTTGGATGTGGAAAAACAGAATATAATTAATTTCTAAAGATCATGAGATTTGCTGGCATGTGATAACCAATTCAGTGGAAATCAACTAGAACCTATTCTATTCCAACGATTGAATGTTAAATCCATAACTGGGGAATATTTTATTGGAAAAGTTGTATGGAAGTGACACTTCAGTCATGTAGTGTTACTTGTGGGTGGAGCAGAAGTAACTACGAGCAGAACTGGTCGGTGGATTTTGTGTTTAACACACATTAGAGCAAGAAAACCAGGACTAGCACCACATATTAGCATTACCTTTATTAGTGGTGAGATGGAGGGATTCTACAGTGAAGCATAAGCAGATGTTTTATCCTTCTTTTGGAAGTTTCCTTTGTTTAACCTGTGATACCAGCAGTCTCCTGGGGTAACCCTCACTGTTGTCTTCACTCTTAAAAGCCCTTCCAGATTTCCCTTTTTCTAAACTGGTGGTTTTCATTCTTTGAAGCAGTGTCTGCAGTGGCAATCA